AAAAAAAAAAAAAAAAAAAAAAAAAAAAAATCAAGGGCAACACTTTGCAGGACAACTCAGTGGAAGACCCCATGAGGGGGTCAGGGTGTGACCACCGTGGGAGGCCCAGTGTGACCTCTGTGGAGGCCTAGGGGATAGTAGAGGAGCTTGGTAAAGAGAGACACAGAATGGAAGAAGGGTTTGGAAGATATTTGAGGACTTCTGCCATCCCGGGCCCCCCACCACACCCCAGCCCAGGCCTACCCCTGGTGGGTGGGACCGGAAGCCATCCACCCTGAAGAGTGAGCAGTAACCGAGCAGCTGGTCCCCAGGGTAGAGTGCTGGGATCTCCCGGGGCGTCAGCAGTGCCTCCACGGTGTCGGGCACAAACCAGTCCACAGAGATGTCACTCAAAGCAGGCTCCAGTGCCTTCCGCAGAGCTTGCACCAGCTGTAGGGAGTGGCCAGAGGGAGGGAAAGAGGTGTCATATGGCCAGACAGAGCAGGGAGGCTGCCCTTCCCCTGATGCCATCTGCCCAGCCCCTGAGCTGATGGGGCACAGGGCCACACTGGGGTCAGGAGAAGGAATGAGGGTAGGAACAAGCAGGGAACTGAGTGCTCGGTCCTCACGGCTTGGTCTGTCTCCTGGCCTGAGCTTTGCCACATGGGTGGGGCAAGAGAGGATAAGGCTCAGTCCCAGGACCAAATGAGACTCAGAGGGTGCTCAGAGGCAGTGCTCCCACACCCTTGGCCTTTGCAGCACCAACAGCTCTTCCCCTGATTGGAGTGGGGAAGTGGGGAGACAGCTGGTGAGGGTGCCAGAAGCCCCCTTGGCCTGCCTGGTTTCTGTTTCAGACTTGATGTGTAACTTGGGAGAAAGACTTTCAGGTGTAGGGAATAGGGCCCAGGCTCAAACTCACCATGGGCTGCAGCCTCTCCCCAGGCCTCAGGAAATAGGCCTGGCCCCTGCTGAGGGCAGATAAACCCCGGAGCAGCTGGTGGCAGGTGGGCCCCAGCCCAAAGGAGAAGCATCTGATGAAGGAAAGGAAGCAGCTATGACCTTCAGGAGCCTTATGGGGGCTCAATCGTAGGCATCTGGCTCTGCCCATCCCATACCTGGCTGTCCCCCTGTGCCACCTCATGAGCTCTAGGGTTCGGTGGGTAGTGGCGGCCATGGGTGAGGCCGCAGTGAGCAGGAACAGCTGCCGAGGGTAGGCCCTGTGCTGCGGCTGCCCCATGGCCCAGTCCAGCACAGCCAGCACGTCTGGGGGCCCACTGGGAACCTGCAGGGTCTCAATGCTCTCGCAGATCAGCTGCACAGCATCCTGGAGAGAGAAGGCACAGGCTGGGATGCACTGCGCTGAAACCTCTCTGGAAGGCCCCCAGATCCCGGACCACACTCACGTCACTGCAAGGCCGGCTCTCTGGGAAGAGTGGCTCCACTGACGTCCCAAACACAGCCAGGTTGATGAGTGTCTGGGGCGGGAGAGACTTCACAGCCAAAACAATGGCATCCTGTGGAGAGCCAGGGAGGGCAGTGTGAGGCTGGCCCCAGGGGCCCTGGTACAGAGCAAGGGATGCCAGGTCGCTTGGCTTATCCAGGCCGTGATTCAAGTGAGAGGCCCTGGATGTGAGAGAAAGACTGCAGGTGAGCCCCGAGTGTGAGAAACTGTGTTTGGGGCTCTGGAGGTATACATGAAACCTGAGTCTCCCTGTGGCGGGGTGGACTGGGTGCCAGTCTACGCATGAGAGGCTCTCGGAATCCTGGAGAAACACGTGTGCGTGAATGTGAGCAGGACAGCATGACACTGTCTGTCTGGAGACTGGAGCAGGGCTGCTCTCTAAGGGAATCCCCCTGAGGAGTTGCCATGTGCTTCCCCTTTGGAAGATGGCATTTGAAGCAACAAGGTAACTCCTGGCTTCAAGAGGCTGCCCCCAGCCCACCTCAGACCCACTGCCCCCCTCAACCCCCAGGGCTGCCCACCCCATGCCCCACGGGCCTTGTGCGCTGTGCTGCTGGCATCCAGCAGGAAGAGGAGCTCCCGAGTAGCTGTGCCCAGGTGTCCAGGCTTGGAGCTCAGGTCGGGGCAGAAGCTCAGCACCAGCACAGGATTGAGCAGGATATCCTTGTGGAAGCGCCGCTGCAGGAACCACACCTGAGCAGGGGAGCCCCAAGTCAGCCGGGGCAAGGCTTAGTGCTACCTTGTTGAGGGTGGACAGTGGCACTGGTGCTGGGGCCTTTTACTATCTGATCCACCCAGAGGGACATCTTTTTGTAGTAATTTGAATAAAGGCAGGTGGCTGTCTTCTGCCTATATCAGACCTAGCCTTCGTCCTCTGAGTAACACCCCAGAGAGATTCACATCGACCTTCCAGTGACAATACTCATCTGCCCTCTGTGGTGGTGGGTGGCAGCTGTGGAGAGATCTTGCTGAGAAAAGAGGCCTTCCCCTTCCCCTGCCAACATGAACCTGCTTGCCTGTTTCTTATGCACAAATGCAGCCAAGGCCGGGGTCCAGGCCAGGCCCCTATGGCAGTACCTGCCGGTCCCCGTTACTGTCCCTTCGCTGCAGCCTCTGAAAATCTCGGCGGGCCCTCACCCGGGCCTCGTATTCTGCCGAGCTCAGGCTGCCAGCCTCCAGCAGCAGGTGTGGCTGATGCGGCTCTGAGAGGAGAGGACGCAATTCTGTCAAGGAAGTGCCTGCCCCTGGACCCCAAGTGCCCAGTTTCACTGTCAGGGAGGAGCCTGCAGGTCCAGCCTTCCTGCACCACTGGCTCCGCCCTCACAGATGACTCAGTCCATCTGGCTGGACCCGGGAAACCTGTGCTTGAGAAATGCTTCCCCCATTCATACAGAAGCGGGTCAGAGCTGGCCCACGGTGTGCCCCAGTCTCTCACCACTGGGGTGCAGCAGGATCTCCAAGGCCCGATCACAGTGGTGGCCCTCTGCCAGTGTGACACAGATGGTGGCTGCAGAGCTGGCATGTGGGGGGGCATCTGCCCGCAGGGCATGAGAGGGGCTCTCCAGGCCTGAGGAGCACAGAGGCAGGAAGGGGAGATGCAGCCATCACACCTTTCCATAGACAGCAACTGATGGCCGATCACCGCTGACTCAGTCAGCTTAGAGTCTGCTCTCTAGGATCAGATGGACGAGGGAGGATGTGCCTGCTTTCATGGGCTGGGAGGTTGATTCCAGCTGGGTTCCTGGCTGGTCGAAGAGCCATGCACCAGCCAGCTGCTGATTTAGCATCCACCCCCTACCTTCTGCGTAAGGAAAATCTACTTCATCCCACTGGTGGGTGGGATGGGATAGAAATAAATTACCTCGATAAAGTTAGGGATGTGTGTGTTGGGGAGAGGTGACCTGGGTGTTCCGGAGTCTTGGGGCCCTGCCTTTTTGTCCTGTTTTCCTCCCATCCCTGAGCCTCATTTCCCTTCCAGTCACTACACTGGGAGGTGTGGGCATCTGAAAAGAGGCCAGGCCAGCCAGAGGCACCCACCTGCAAGCAGGCATGGCCCAGTCACCAGCATCTCGAAGGAGAAGGTATACGGGGCAGGGCAGCGGGCAGGACCTGAGAACACATCCCGAGGGGCAGCCGGCTCCTCCCAGGCCAGCCCTTCCTCCTGAGGGCTGCCTACCCCGAAGCAGCTGGTGGGGCTGGAAGGGAAGGGAGCAGGAGGAAGGTCACTGGGCCACTGGGAAGGCCCCTAACCCCTCCAGCTGACTGGCCTCAGCCCTTCTTCACCCTTCCCATCCCCTGGGGTACCCTCCAATGCCCCCTCACCCGCACTAGACCCAGAGAAGCCGAGGGAGGGACGAAGAGAATCACCATAGGCCCAACCTGTCGTCACAGAGCCCCGGAGGCCTGGGGGGGCCCGGCAGGCCCGGCGGGGCCAGCGGGGTGAGCACAGTGGGCAGAGCCACATGCAGCACCCCATCAGGCCTTGAGGGCAGCTCCCGGCTGCTGTGCAGGGTCACCGTCATGGTGCCAGCCGCAGCGATAAGGCCTGTGGGCAGCACCAACGTGGACCAGGCCTGGGCCAGATCCAAGACAAGATGACCTATGATGGGTGAGAAACGGGGTCAGAGCACGCTGGAAGCAGAGGAGAGGGAGGAAGCTAGAGGTGGGAGCAGGCACGGAGTCAGGGAGCCTGGGCAAGGGGGGCTTTGTGTGTTGGCACTGGGCTAATGCACTGGTGACATGGGATGGTGGCATGAGATGAATCATGGTGAGAGGCAGGCTAATGGGGGATGGGTCCGCTGTCATCAGGCAAGAGCGCGATGACGTCCTTACTAACAGAAGGCTGAGGAGAAGGGGTCCTGTCCACTCTCAAGGTCCCGGGATACCCACAGCCTCTGCCCCCTCCCCCTGCCTGCCTCTTTCCATTCAACCCCTGGCCACCGTCCCTTGTGGGTAGACACCTCCCTGTGGCCTGGGACACGTTATGCTTATAAATCTCCTGCTCATGAATTACCTGGGGCTCCCCCACTGCCCACTAAGGTGGCTCCCGAATTCTCTACTCCTCTCAGGCAGGAGGAGAAGAGAAGCAGGAGGCAGGCTAGAGGACATGAATCCCCACTGGCACCGCACGCACTGTTTTATTCAGCTCCTGGGCTTATGTGGGGACTGGTGGGTCTGCTAAAGGAACAGCGACCAGCCATGTACACCACCGCTGAGGTCTGGCCCCAGCCCACCTTCACGGCCCTGCTGAACCTCACTTCCTCACAATGACCAGCTGTTCATCCTTTCAATAAATTCTTGCTGAATAATTGAAAGGAGGAAAAACACGGAAGACAAGGAGGAAAAGGGCTTCCATCCCAGCCAGCTGATACAGTGGAGAAAGCACAGCAGCAAGTCTGAAATACCAGATCTGTGATCTCTAATTGAGTCTTCTGGCAACTCTCTACTGAGGAGCCTCAGTTTCCTCGTCCATAAAGTGGGGATCATAGTAACTATGTGATTGTGGTGAGGAACAAATGAGGCAATGCATGCAACACACCCAACATATAAATCAGTGACCCCTGCTATGACTTTCATCCCTCATAACAGGAGGAAGGGGAGCAACGCTGGCATTACCTACTACTCAAAGGAGAGTAGGGCTTCAAAGGAGGTGATGCCAGCGATTGTGAACTGTAAATCACTACCAACGGGGCATTTTATTGTCATAACCCACTATAACCTACAGATGAGCAGCTGCCTCCACCCTCCGCTTAACCGAGTCCTGTCCTTTCAGTCATAGGCTGCGTCTACCTCCTCGTGAACATTCTGGGTCCTCAGCCCGAGCTCACTCTAGCCTCTAACCACAAGCCTCTAACCTGCTGGGCTTATGCCAACTCTCAACACCACTGGGTTCCGTTCCTCTTCTTACCTGGACTGTAAATCCCATGGGCAGGAATCAAAGGAATGTATGAAGGAATCAATGAAAGAGCCAGGTACAAGCCAGCACACAGCACAGGGCTGGGCTTCCGTCCCTTCCCCCCGACACTCACTGGGCCTCCTAGGGCCAGGGTCTGTGTGAGGTGCTGGGATTTGGAGAAGCTCCAGCGGGAGACAGACACGCCCATCTGTGACAATGACTCCCCCTCGTAGGTGCAAAAGGCCGGGGGAGCCAGGAAACAGTGCAGCTAATTATTTCTGGGGGAGTCAGGGAGCGTTTCCCAGGGAGTGACATTCAGTGGATCTAAAGGACAAGTACGAATTTGCTCGATAGAAGACGGGAGGAGAGAGCAGAGGTGGGAAGGGACCTGTCAGTCAGCGTGGCCAGTGGGGTGGTACCTGGTGTGTGGGGTCGCGGGGAGAGGGATGGAATGGAGGGAGAGGGAGGGCCTTGGCTGCTGGGCCCAGGATTCTACACTTGATCCACTGGCCCGTGGGGCCGGGCTGAGGTGTGCAGCCTAAAAGGTAAGGGGCCGGAGGGGACCATGGGGGAAGGCTCCCTTTGCAGCCCCCTAGAGAGACCGGTCGCCTGTGCGCCCCCCGCAAGCCCTGTGCTGCCTGCTGTCTGTCTCCCTGGCTGGGAACCTTCGGGCCACGTTCTCCCAGCACCTGGCGCAGGTCAGGTGCCCAGCCCAGGACTGTTGAATACCGGGATGAGCCAATGAATGCACAAGGCAGCGCCCGGAGGAAGGGGGGGGAGGGGAGGAGGCCGAGCGGGTGCGGGAGCCCAAGCTGTGCCCGGCCTGCGGGAGCGCGGGTGCGGCCGCGCGGGACTCACCCTGCGCGCAGCGACGGGGCGTCGGGGTCCCCAACCCGGGGCCCAGCGCGCGGCAGCAGGCGGCCTGCGAGCGGCGCCGGCTCTGCAGCTGGAAGGAGACGCGGCGTCCGGCGGCCTCGGCCTCGAAGCCGGACACCACCTCGGCCTCGGCCAGCGGGTACACGAACACGCCTGGGGAGGGCGTCGGGAGGCGGCGTCGGACCCCGCCCGGCGCCCGCCCGCCCCGCGCCGCCCCGCCTGCGCCCCGCCCGGGCCTCACCGTCCACCGGCTGCGGCTGCGGGTTGCGGTAGGTGAGCCGGGCCCGCACGCTGAGGCAGGGGCCGTTGGCGCAGGCCCGGACCCAGGAGTCCGTGAGCGGCAGCGGCGTCCAGCTGGAGGGGCAGTACAGACCGGGCATGGCGCCGGGGGGCCGGCCCTGCGGGAACGCGCCCGGGGAGCGGGGCACAGGGGGACGCGGCGCCCACCCCGCGCTCCAGAGGCCAGCGCGAGAGTCTCACTCCAGCTCCGGGACACGCCTGCCGGGGCGCGAGGCCGAGCGGGGGCTCCTGCGGGCGACAGGTGGCGGGGCAGATAAGGGGGCGCGGACGTGGTGGGGAGGGGGGCATCCTCGCGCGTTACCTGGGCAGCCGGGGCGGAGTGCGGCGGGGGCGCTGGCCGCGGAGGGTGAATGATTAACGAGCGCTCGGGCGCCCGGCAGTCCCACCGCAGCTCCCCCGGGTGGGGGCGGCCACAGCTGTTCCCCTGCCCGCTCCCAGCCTTGCCGCCACCCTGGTACCTGCCGGCCCCCCGGGGCTCTCCGCGGCCGCCAGCTGTCGGAAGCGGCGCGGGTGAAGAAGGAAGATGCTTCCGGAGGGCGGAGGTTTAAAGGGCCCGAATCCCCCCGGAGGTCCCCGGTCCGGCGAGGGAACGCGGGGGCGGGGTGGAGGGGGCGCCGAAAGGGCCTGGGTCTTTCTCTCCCTGGTCCCTCATCCGACGGGGGTGCTGGCCGGGTAGGAAGGGGACTGGGGTGGGAAGAGCGAGCTGGGGAGGCGAAGAGAGGGGGTCTTTGGGAGGCAAGCCCGGGAGGCGTGTCGGGCCTGAGAGCCCGCGGGAGCCGCCAGGGCTCCACTCCCCACCCGGGCAGGGCTGATGTGGGAGGAGGGGGCGGCTGCAGGCGCCGCGGCCCGCGCAGGGGATGCCGCGGGCTGGCTCTGGGGATCGCCCCCGTCCCTGTGGCCGCCTCAGCCTCACCGTCGCGTCCTCCGCGGAGTTCTGGGCGCCCACGGGATCCGGGTGGGTGGTGCCGCCTCTGCGCCCTGGGTGGCCCTCGGTCCCGGCACCTGCCAGCCGCCAGCTCGCGACTCGGGCTGCAGCGGCTCTGAGTCCCCGCAGGGCCGCGGGTCCAGCTGGCGGTGGTCCCGCCCCCGTTCCGAGAGGCGGTCCCTCCACCAGCCGTGGCCCCGCCTGCCGCTGCTGCGGCTGGGATGGCGCTCTCCCTCCTTCGGGCGCGGTACCGCCTCCGCGCCAGCCGCGCCAGCCCGAGCCAGACTGGGCACCGCAGTGCAGGGACCGCGTCCCCGCCGCTGCACGGATCCCCGTCACTGCAGGACCAAGGCCTCAGAGACCCCACCCTCTCCATTCTTCAGGAATAAGGCATCCTGCAAGTGCCACGCGCACTGCTGCGACCCCGGCTATCCCATTACCACGACCGCAGTCCATTCCCCAGCCCACCCCACCCCTTGCCTTGAGTGGCTTCCCATAGCTGCCGAGATCCTCCCTCCTGACTGCAGCGAACCCCGGCGCCCCATCGCCACCATCGCAGGACTCTGCCCCCAAGAAGCCAGCCCCTTTCCTTTGCAAAGTGCTCTTCATCACTGCAGAAAACCTCCCCCATCCCTGCAGGTACTTCCAGTTCATGCAGTCACTTCAGTGGCCACTCACTCCAAGCAGGGATTCCTCATCACTGCAGCGACTTCCTCCCACCCCCACGCAGCCAGCCTTGGTATCGCTGCAGTGCCAATTCCCAACTTCTGCTGGGTTGGGAGAGTGTGCAGGATGGCTCCCTCAGGCTATAGCCCCTTGGTCTCTTGGGTTGCGTGGGCCTTGGGAGTGAAGCCTTTCAGCCTGAAGACTGCCCCTCATAGCAGTGACCCCCACCCTGAGAAAACATCCCTGCTTGTCAGAGGGGCTCTTGTTATTGGCAGACTTTGCATGTGCTTGACAGTGTTATGCTGTCAAAAAATAGGAAGGTCCATAAAACCTCTCCCAAGACCCCCAAGGGAGTCTGAGAGCCCTGGGGAAGTGAGGGGAGGCGACCACGTTTGGGGGTCATCCATGTCAGCTCTTTTACAGATGCCATACTGAGATTCTGCAGAGAGAGCTTGGGAAGAGCTGGGGTGGAGGACAGCCAGTAGGAAGTGGGCTTTCAAGCCGGACCCATGGTTCTCACTCCTCCACATGAACTCTATGCTTCTGATTGCAATCGCTCTCACCGGTGATCATCCCCCTGGGGATCCCTGCCTCCTTGAGCATCTGAGCTCCCAACACCAACTCTCTCCCTTGCTCACCCTACTTAGCATGGTGGAGAGAGCGTGACCTCTTTCCAGGTGGGTGGAAATGCACAGTAATGATACAGGGAGCACAGACACAGTCACATGGCCCCACACAGAGGGGCTCCCGCTGGGTCCCAGCCCTCTTTCCATACGGTCAGGGTGGTGGATCCATTGACCTCTCCTCTTTTCTCTACTGAGTCTGTTCTCAGCTTTATCCTGAACGAGGGTCCCTCTTTCAGGCCTGAGAAGAAACAGTGGATGGGTTGATGGTCCCTCCAGCTGATCCAGGGCCTCAGGTGGGACCAGCCCTGGCCCTGAGGGCCCCTAAAGGCCCAGGCAGTGGTCACCTTTTCACAGGCACTTGGAGCGCTGCCCCTTCTACAAATGAACCAAGAGCACATGTGGCCCTCAAACAAAAATGAGGCTGCAGAGAGCACTCATTCAGGAGGTCTCTGACACATGGAAATGGGAAAAGAGGCCCTTCTATTTGGTCCTGAGAAGAACTTGGATGTAAGACAGTCTCCCAGGAAGGTAGCATCCCTATCACAGACCAGACACATACACTGGCAGAAGCCAGACTTTGCTGGGAAGCTGGACCAGCTCTGAGATCTTGCTAGGAAGGCCATCTTAGCTGAGGGCAGTGGAGGGAGAGACAGGTGAATGGCTCCACAAAATGTGTAGAGCACCCTGCAGAATGGGGGAGCGGGGAGCCGGTGCAGGCTGCCTGGCACCTGGGGTGGGAGTAGGTAGTAAGAAGGGTCTCTGAGGTCCAGCTGGAAGGCCCTCTGGTGGTGAGCCAGCAGCATGGCAGCCAAGAGCGGAAGGGGACAGCACTGGACCTCGCAGGAACTAGGTTCCAGGAGGTGGAGCTGGGGGATAGCATGGGGCTTGGGTGGTGGGCTGCATGGTAGTCATAGGAGGATAGATTATAGAGATAGATAGATAGATAGATAGATAGATAGATAGATAGATAGATGATAGATTTTTTTGAGACAGAGTCTCTCTGTCATCCAGGCTGGAGTGCCATGTGTGATCTCAGCTCAGTGCAACCTCTGCCTTCCAGGTTCAAGCGGTTCTCATGCCTCAGCCTCCTGAGTAGCTGGGATTACAGGCATGTGCCTCCACGCCTGGCTAATTTTTTGTATTTTTAGTAGAAACGGGGTTTCACCATGTTACCAGGCTGGTCTTGAACTCCTGAGCTCAGGCAATCTGCCTGCCTCAGCCTCCCAAAGTGCTGGGATTACAGGTGTGAGGCCAGATAGGAGATTATTAAGCTGAAAAGACTTAGCCTCTGCCTAGAAGAGTCTCACACTTTAGTGAAAAGGGCAGACAAACACGCAGTCACAGTGGATTGAGATAAGTGCCGTATTAGAAGAGTAATGGATCTTATCAAAGCTTTTAACTGGTGGCTGGGGGCTCATAACTGTAATCTCAGCACTTCGGGAGCCTAAGGCAGGAGAATCTCTTGAGGCCCGGAGTTCAAGACCAGCCCAGGCAACATAGCAAGACCCCATCTCTAAAAAAAAAAAAAGAAAAGAAAAAGTTAGCTAGATGTGGCTCCACCCTGGGCATCAGAGCCAGACTCTGTCACTAAAAAAGTTAATTAAGGCTGAGGCAGGAGGCTCACTTGAGCCCAGGAGTTTGAGACCAGCCTGGGAAACATGGCAAAATCCCATCTCTACAAAAAAATTTAAAAATTAGCCGGGTGTGGTGGCACATACCTGTAGCCCCAGCTACTCAGGAGGCTGAGGTGACAGGATTGACTGAGCCTGGGAGGTTGAGGCTGTAGTGAGCTGTGAATGAGCAACCGCACTCCAGCCTGGGCGACACAGCAAGACCCTGTCTCAAAAAAAAAAAAAGAAAACAGTTTTAAAATTTTTAAATTGACAAATATTTTATATATTTATAATGTATGGTGGACACCAAGGCCCCTGTCCAGGCATCTGCTGACCTCAGCCACCACCATGCTGACCTGCAGAATGCTGCTTTTCCTCTGATCTGGCCCAAGTGGGAGGATTCAGACTTGGCTCTCAGGATACCACTGCCCAGATTGGGGCTAGAACATATCAATAAATCTTAACTGGCCAGGCATGGTGACTCATGCCTGTAATCCTAGCACTTTGGGAGGCCAAGGCAGGAGGATCCCTTGATCCCAGGAGCTCGAGACCAGCCTGGGCAACATAGGGAGACCCTGTCTCCATAACAATTAAAGATTTTTTTTAAAAAAAAACCTTAACCAAGGGTGGTGGTGATGTGGGGAATAGGGTGAACCTGAGGGAACTGACAGAAAATGGCACTCAGCCAGGTCTTCTTGTTGCAAAGCACAACTCAATGGCTCCTGCTTCTGGGCTGGCTGTTGGCCCTTGGAGTCCAGAGGTCTTGTTTCCCTAAGATTTAGATTATCTACTCTCTCAGATTAGAGCTCCAAAAGAGTTATACCTAGAGAAAGAGAGGAATTTTGCCTCTTGCTGTCTAAAGCTTGACTTCCAAAATCCCAGCGCCTTCCTGAAACCCAAATTGGAAAGTGGTTTAGTTCATTCATTCATTCGTTCACTCAAGAAATACTTCTTGTTGAAGCCTACGATGTGCTAGCGCTGGAACTACAGCAGAAAACAAGACAGTGGTAGGTCCCTCCCCTCACAAAAGATGTCACACAATTAAGCACATTTTTTTTTTGAGACGGAGTTTCACTCCCAGGCTGGAGGGCAATGGTGCGATCTCAGCTCACTGCAGCCTCCCCCTCTTGGGTTCAAGCGATTCTCCTGCCTCTCCTGTAATCTCAGCCTCCCTAGTAACTGAGATTACAGGCACCCGCCACCACACCCAGCTAAGTTTTCTGTATATAGTAGAGATGGGGCTTCGCCATGTTGACCAAGCTCGTCTTGAACTCCTGACCTCAACTGATCCACTGCCTCGGCTTCCCAAAGTGCTGGAATTACAGGTGTGAGCCACTGTGCCTGACCTTT